TATATATATATATTTGTGTGTGTGTGTGTGTGTAGATAGATAGATACATGCACAAACACACACAGAGAGGCCATGAATTGCACCAAGTCAAACTATTAGTCCATGTTATTCAGCCTAATGCCTAGGAGTGTTTATCCAGGATTTCAGAAAATAACTTTCCCAATAGTATCTAAAGATGCTGCATATTGAATTTGGGACCTTCTTCATACAAAGTGCTGCTAAATTACAGCCCTTCCATATTTACTGAAATAATGGCTGTTGAAATATTATGCCAATCCATGGTTAGGGATCCACTCCATGAACTGACTTTCCAAACATACAATTAAAAAAGTATGGTTTTAAATGTGCTTCCCGTGCATTTTTGCTATTGCAGTGTAGTAGGCTTTTGTAATTATGTAACATAGTGCAAAGAAAGAGCAACAAATTTAACACAAAAGGAGTGGTTTTTGGTTTGTCATCCAATTTCTTTAGGTTTGCAGATCATGCAGTCATGGTTTCTTCCACCCATGATTTGTTGAATAAACCTTAATTGCTTCATAGATTGTGCTAAGCCAGAACCAAATAAGACAGATTATGATTAGCACAATGTGTGGGTCCAGGCTATTTTAAATATAAGTCACTGTGCTATTTGAATTAAGCTATCAAGCTGCCTTTCTCACGGAAGACTGGACTGAATATCTGCCCCATATTTTACAATTTGTTACCTATAAATATTGGGGAAGTAGCAGTCTAGCAAACGTTTTCAGTGGGAAGTGCAAATTTATGATGTGGATAGATTTACATTCAAAACACAAAGCAACCAAGGGTATTTTGGTTTTGCTTTGTTTTGACAGGAAAAGAAAAACTCTTTGCAACTATTTCAACAAATGTTGGGACTCCCTTCAGTATTGCTGTGTACATATTTGAAGGGGCACATTATTTCATGAGAGCTTCAACTGGAACAGCCCTTCATAGCAAAGCTATGATGCAGTCCACTCTCTGCATACACTGCTTTGATAAAGATTCTAAATTATTATATACCACTTTTCCCTGGAACACTATAAAATTCCATTATTCTTACTCTAAGGTATTCTGTTAAATTACAGATTGGTTTTCAAGATAAAGAGAAAAACAAAAGAAACCACAACTTCCATTGAATCACCCTGTGAAAGCTTGTGTATATTACTTAGCATCCACCTTCACTTAGAGAATGTTTGTACCAACACCCAAATTTCTTATTCTACTTAAGATATCTAGTACTTATATGGATCCATTGTTTTCAAAAATGCAGACTGATTTTCATTTATTGTTTCAGTGTTCCTGTTTATTAATTCTTTTTAAGTATCTAAATAACAGTAGTTGTAGTAATAAACATATAGAATTCAAAGAACTGAGACACTGAGTGTCAGTTAGGTTTTAATAATCCCTGCACCTTTATTGGAAATGACTATCATGATCAATGCATACTAGTACAACAGGGAAATGGAATTGGACAGAGGACTTCGTAACTGATCTGCATGTTCATTTGAGAATCAAATTAGGGCTTATCAGTATACAACTGAAAATCATCTTCAGCTTTATTTTATGTACTCTATAAAGACAATTGTCCAGTCTTTAAAGTAATCTATCAGTCCTGATAGAATGTGCATATCCAATCCCTATCCATGCTACCTACTCCTTTCCAGGGCATGTTAATTCACAAAAGATTGAATTTATGATAAGTTGCATCATTACATCCAGTCCAAGGTCCTAAGATATTATCCCATAACAAGATAGCCAAAATAGTTTTGCATCATAAGAACATAAGCAGTGCCCTGCTGGATCAGACCGCTGGCCCATCCAGTCCAGCAGTCTAACAGTAGCCAAAGAACTGTACAAGGAAGCCCACTGATCTCCCAGCAGATGGCCTTCAGAGGCAGTTACACTGCCATTGAATACCATCCTCATAAGATCTTAGAATTCTTAATCTTGGCAGCACCAAGACTATTATGAAACTGTTGCTATATTTACAGACACACAAGTATGTATACTAGTTGAATGAGAAGATTTGGAACAAGTTACGCACTTTTGAAAATATAAGTAATTATAAGGAAAATATATAGCAGTAAACATTACATCTGGCAAACATGATTTAAGCTCTTACCAGGAACGGACTCCAGCAAATGCAAGAGACACACATTATAGCCAAGAGCTGAATTATCATTTCAAAATGATGAGATCTGCCTTGTCTATGTTGACTTTTAAATTTGACTCTTAAAAGTGTAATTCCTGTCACAGCATTGCACAAAAATGAAATAACGAGGGCCAGCAAACCCAAGCATGAAAAAAGTAAGAGGTAAAATCTGTCTTCCCAATCTTCAATACGTTCTGTTTTATAGAAGCACCAGGTTCTTGATGCCTGGATTTGATAGGCTCTTAACCTCAGTATAGGCAGCAAAGCTATGAAAATAGCAAAAAAACATACCATAGTCAATATCATTTTTACATGGTTAGAAGTCATTTTTGTTGAATGAAATATTGGTTTTGTCACTCCAATGCAGCGTTCCACAGCCATCACACTGCCCAGAAATAAAGGACAAAGTCCAAAGAACACCATACAGATACCAAAAACACTGCAGAGAACATTTGATTGATTAAATCTAATCCAGTCTTTATCAGATACATATACAAATACTGCAATAGTTCCAGCGATGAGATGGCCCAACAGGTCTGTGATAACCAAGCTACTGGCAAAGAGCAAAAAAGATGCTTTTGATTTCTGCCTAAACCTCTGATACGCTTTCATGAGAATTGCTATTGCGAGGCTATTGGATAAAATTCCAACTGTCATGAAGATGACAGAAAAAAATACTGAGATTTTTTTTTCTGTGGGACAGGTAACATTAGAAATTCCAGTCAAGGGCAGTGATTCTGAACCATTCATTGTTAGAAAGAAAATTTCAGCACTCAAAACATCTCAGTGGCCAGGAAATCATCAGGTATCTGTAACACAGCAAAAGAAACTGTTTAAATACAATAAACGATACTATGAAGTTCACCCTACCCATTTTTGATACAAAGATAGGCATAAAGTAGGTGAACATGCATAGACCCCAGTGCAGATAATACAATTAACAAAATATAAAAATGATAATATAGTAGGTCAAATCAGCAAGTAAAAAGCAGGAACAAAGTAGAAAGGGGCATATTTGAAATCTGAAATACTTAAATTTTAGCATAAAATACTGATGGGATTATTAAATTATCAACATTCAAGAACATTTTTTCCAAAACACATACTCTATTATCTGATACAGCTTTCATTTTTAATTATATAACTGAAGGAGTGTTGCATATTTTCATGCACTATTATACTGATGTTTGCATTCCCTAGAATTAGATTACCTAAGGCTTTTTTTTTCCCCCAATTTTTTCCACTTTACCTTTGCTATAAACTTCCAGTCCAATTTTCACTCACATATACTATTGGCATTTTAATAATACAGTACATTTGTCTGATTTTTAAAAAAATTGCAATGAATAACCAGATGATTAAAGTTAATATCAGGATTATATATAAGAAAATAAGTTTAGCCATTACAGTAATATTAATTGGTTTATTTTGCCTAACAATTTGGTATGAGATGAGGCAAAGACAAACAAAAGGATTCTATTTTACCTTCATTGTTATGAACCCTTCTAGAAGACAACACTTCCATTGCCCAAGTTTATGGGTTTACCAAGTGAAACATAGCAAGGTGTGAGCAGATTGTTTCTTACTATGCAAGTTATGGGGATACTCTGGAAAGTAGCATGTTTTCTTCTGTTGAGGTCTGCAGCACTCAGAGAACCAACAGGTGATATAAACTTGCTCTTCCTGGCTAACAGATGAACATAGAGATGTCTCAGATAATTAGCACTCAACTGTGGCAATGGACTGAATATACTGCTTTATACCCTCAGTTTTGCCCTTTCTTCCCCAACAGTAGAATAAACTAGTGTTTTGTATGCCCAGCCCCATGGTGTATATCTCCAGACTTCACAGTTCCATTTTGTTCAAAATGTCACAGGAAGAAGCTATAACTAGTGGGAGAGTAAATATCCAGTGATTAAATTGATTAATCAGTTTGCTTTGCAAACAGATCTAAACCAGTCTCTTGTACTAATTATAATGCTCTGTCTCTAGTCTTGGAAATATGCGTAACTTAGAACTTGAGGTAAGGACAGAATGCCTGTAGAAGTCTATAGTCTACAGTATATTTAGGTATGTGCCAAGGAAGAGGTATGATATTTAACTGGGCTAAAAGCACTCAGCAGAGCAGCACTAAAATGGACAAAACAACTGCAAAGCACTTTTGATGCCTCTTTTTTTTTTTTAACTAGGGACATCTATGCTTTACACAGCCTCCAGATGCAGGTGTAACATACTATTTCTTCCATCGTACAATAATGTACATAGATTTCACCATATTTAGCATATGGATAATAGATACAGCACATATCACTATTTTTCTAACATACTATTCCACATAGACATTTACCACAATATTCACATAGTCCCTACCATATAATGTGTTCTATGACCTCAGGAAAACACACTGAAAATACAGAGCAGAAAGCACAAGAGATCAGACTAAAATCTGAGCTTATTTCAGGTACTGAAACTGTAATAGCATTTTTATAGAAGAAATAAGAATTTAAATGTAAAGGGGGGGGGATCACACGTGCACATTTTCCTCTATTTAAATGCTTAAATGCATTTTTCTTTTACTCTCATTCTTTGTCCCAAATAGCATTTAATGACCAAGAAAGGTCTTTGCATGAAGTGGCTGGTCTTTTGTACTCAATCTGTCCTTCATTTATCAGCTCACATATATAATACACTATTTGATTCTCCCCCTCTTCTTATTTCTTACAATATGCAATTATAATCTCCAAGTCTCTGAATTTTATTTATGTTAGTAATACTCAGCAAAAAAACATGCAGATCTTATGTTAACTTGGCAAAATTTAGTTAGCTATACAACCATGTCAAAGATTTCTAAGAGTTAACAGTTGCAATTTTAAAAGAAAGAATGTTAATTCATCAGAGGGAGAAAATACATTTGAAAAGTTGCCATACTTTTTTGGCATTATCAAAAGACATAGACGTAGTGATATAGGTCTGAGCCCAGATAAATTATACTCTACAGTTGCCTGACAAAAAATAGTCCTGTAATTAATACTAAACTCAATGGGGGATAGTGTAGACTGAAGTCAGATGAAAGTATATTACCTTAAATAGAGGTTTGTATGGAAAAATAACAACATATATAAGTATTTATGCATTTTCATAAGTAATTCTGTTTCTCTTTGAATATATCACTTATAAAGATTGGAAGTACTCTGCATAAATGGCCAATTTTAAATGTAAATTCAATTTTTAATTTGAATTTGTAGCTTGTACAACCTAAGAAAAATGTCAGATATTATCTTAGCAAATTCCATCACATTTCATACTATATTATTTTCAGAAACCAATGCAGAACATTTATGTAGCCAAATAGGTTTCTTTGGGGGAATATTACCATAATTACCCACATTTGTGAGACTATGACATGTTTTGTACATATTCGGTTCACATAGTTCAGTTCACTGCAGCAACTAGTGCATGTCCCAAGAACCCTGATTTATTTGGATGGCAAAAACAGGTGAATAATAAGAAGACAGCAGTAGGAACAGTTTAATATGGACAGAAGAATTTAACATGGATAACAAGGACTACATGATAAAATCAGAACCTATTTTGAGTTGTTGGAATAGATAAAATTGGGAATCGCTGTTTGGAAGACATCAGTGGGATACTTTTGAAGTGACAGAGAACTTCAAGAGTAAACATTGCCAAAGCGTGAAAGATTTGAGGATTCATTAGTGGCAGCCTTCTGCAGTCATACTGAATGTCAATGTGGTCACTAAGAGTCAACACCAATTTGATGGTATATAATCAATCAGTGACTACCGTAGAAGAGTCTGTAGCATTTTTTTTTCTTTAATTGTGATATGAGACAATGACGAGCTATTGAGGGAACAGCAATCAGTTACTGCAAGCTAAGTAGTGGAATAATGATAATGAAGGAATCAAAATAAAAAATCTAGTGGAAAAAAAGAAAGATCTGCAAAAGAAAGATACGCAGTAGAAGGGAAAGTAGGAAGCAACTGAAGAATAAGGAATGGTGAACTCTGAGGAGTAGAGTAGACTGTCAGAAATTAACTGAGTTTGGACAGAGACAGGAGGAAAATGAAAAAAATGAAATTCTCTTTTATACGAGAATCAGTAATGTTCTGTATTCCTCCCACGAGAACACTTGTCTCCTCCAAAGTAAATTCCACTGAATTCAGTAGGATTCCTTTCCTTGGTAAGTGACATTGGATTGCAGTCTTAATTCAGCCAATTTGATATGAACCTATCTACCCCAATATTTGGCCCTCTTATACCCTCAGCGTCTGTCCAGAGTGGGCAGCTGTATCCTTAGTCACCCAGTTATCCGAGCGTGAAGAAGGTAAAACAAAATAACACACTTACAGGCGAGATTCAAAGAGCCAGATGGAGGCTAATCACGCGAGCGCTTTACACCGCAGTGATTTAACAGATTTTATATTTGTATAGTCACAGCCATGGCTAGATGACCCTGTGAATCGTAGCGTAGTTACCTTCTGGACAGGCTAAACTGGATAGTCCACAAGAGCTGCGCAGAACTGCACAGTTACTCCTAATTCTTCCCCCGCACGGACGATGAACATATCCGCTTTCTTCTCCAAAGTCGAAATGCAGCTTCCTTTTTCCCTGAAAGTTTGGGACGGTAAAGCTTGGACGATAAAGCGCGGAATCTTTTACCTCAGGGTCTCCGGTCCCGCCAGCGGCCGCGCGCCTGCCTCGCGCTCCGGGCATCGCCGTCACCCAGAGGATCTTCTCAGCGGCTCCTTCCACGCTTCCCGCTCATCCGAATTAACCAGACGGAGGGCGCCTGCCGCTTCGCTCGCTCCGAGCTCAAGGCTCGCCCACATTCCCGCCCCTTTCAGCTGGCAAAAACGTCACGCGTGCCACCGGCTTCCTCCTTTCCCTCTCTTAGGACTCTTTAAACAATCCTCTGCAACTTTCCCGTGGGGAACATGGTGGTCCTTTCCAAGCAGGCCTCCGCCCTCTGTAGGCTCAGCCAAAGGACAGGCAGGCCCACACCTGCAAGAGGGAAGGAAAGAGAGTTTTGTTTTTCTCACCGTCAAAAGTGAAAATAAACAGGCATCCTCTTCTTTTCCAGGGAGACTTAGGGCCTTTTCCCACAAATAAATCTCAGAATCCTCTGTTTGCTGCCAAGTCTCCATGTCCTTGTCTCCATCTCGCCCCCAATCCATATGTGTCCACACAGGACAAGTGATCACAACACAAACTCCTTGACTCACATATCTGCATCCAACATTAGGACACAAGTACAAAAGGAGGTGGGGAGGAGTTGCATTATCATGTAATTGCATGTATAGTCACTTTTGTGTCGTTATGGCTGTGGTCGCCTATGCTCCAAACCATACCTGAGGCTGAAGGTCAACTTTAGCTGTTCCAATGTTAAAGCAGCATTTTCCCCTTTAAGTGCCAACAAACAGTGGCAGCTTTGCCATGGGTTCAAGGTGATAGGCTTCACATCCTTTCAGTGGATGTGATCGTCAAGTGGGGGTGTAGTCCTGGATTCACCCTTTTCAAGCCTGCTGTTACAACTTGAATGTTAGCAAGAGTTTGACTGCACACTCAGCCCTCTTGTGGCTAAAATATCGGGGGGGGGGAGGGGAGGAGAAGCATGTCACAAGCAAGAGCGTCCCCCTTGAAGGGGAAAATATACTCATGACTGCCCTATGCTTACAAGTCCTCAAGCTCACCAGAAGCCATGACAAAGCAGCTAAAAATGAATAGTTATCTCCTGCCTGGAGGCCCTTCTACTGTATGAGAAATCATCTGGAAATCCTAGCCCTAGATTTCCCCTCCTACTCGCTGAGAAAGCTGATAGTTAAGGAACACAGCCAAGCTACCAAAACTCACCAAGCAAAGATATAACAAAGGAAAGTTAAATAATCCCTAAGGGTTGGGATCAGTTGGTACATATTGGCCACTTCAGACAGGAGCAAACATACTTTCCCCCATTATGCCCCCAAAGGTTGTTCTTCAGGGCCATTCTGCTTCAGTCAACAGGGGAGTCCAGCTCCTTCCAACCAGTATGTCCTCCATATACATCAGGTTTCTGAGCTGATCTCCAGCTTAGTGACCTCAATCAGCAGTAGCTGACCAGAGATAGTAGGTGGGGTGGGATGAGGGGCTGCTGCAGTGTGAAGTTGGAAAGAGATATGGTTTTCTCTCACAGTGCAACCTGTCAGCTGTTTGGGCTGCTCCTAAAATGGGTGTGTTGCTATTCTTGAATAGCGCTGAAATTTGAATCCAAAAGTAGCTCAAGACTCAGCTCTGATTTATTAGAGGTGTTTTACCTGGTGCACTCAAAGGTAGCTGACCAACAGCTGAGCATTCTGATTTTGGAGGGATATGGATTTCAGAACAACACTAATCTTCTGCAAGTCACCTGCTATGAGCATATAGTTGGGCTAACTTCAAATATACCTGCAACAAAGCACCTGTGCCAAAGAGCAAGTTTTGGCAGATGGCTAAATCCACTAGTGCAGTTATCTGTCAAAATGCATTTTCATCCCAGGCCAGGCTCATTCTGCATTAAAGAGGCTGATTGATAGATATTTTCCCATTGCTAGTGATGTTTGCTGGAAAGGAAGAGAAACAAAGCTAGGGAAATCCACTAACCCGTGTTCTTTAACATGCCCTCTGGCATTGTGTCTATGGCACAATAAAGATTGTCCCAGTGCACTATAGTTTATTAAACCCCTTAATAGGAAGGTTTTCCTCTCTGTTAAACTAGCACAGATGTCTTCACATAGAACAATCTCAAAATCCAAAGATGAAATATTACCGCAAGAAACTGGCTTTTGATCTAAGGTTTCTATGTAAAAATATTATGTCAATAAGCTGGACAAACAAGGCTGGTTTGCATCATACCTGTTTCTCTGAATAAGAGATGCATTTTCACCTTCAGTGTGGTTCCAATGAAGAGGCGCCTCAGAGTCAGTTATCTTGAAAGTGAGCCCGATCACACTGAGGAAATGGTTGAAAGGAGCATTTTAAGAGTAAGGAAGTTCCTTGAACTGAGACAGTTTCTGCTGAGATAAACCTGCTTTCTGTTTTACCCAAGCTGACCTAGTAAATTTGGCTATTAGATTGCAGTTGGTTTAATTCAGCCCTGCTGGATTCAGGGATAGTCCTCTAGCAGTAAATAGTAGCATTTCCAAAACCTTTTGCACTGGTAAACTGGCAAGTGAGATTAATCAGGATTTGAGTCAGTTTGCATGTATGAGTCAGTGCTGACAAAAATGAACCCATACTTAAATAGGTTAAATTGCCAAGAAATATGACACACAGAATATAACACTACAATTATGTCTGTTTTTAATGCAATCCTAGCTCCAATTTTGAAGATTTCTCATTACACTGTAAATTAAGATTGATGCTAATGCTCATAATTCATTTCTTTAGAATTGTGAACTTTTTAACTGGACAATTAAACTTTAAAGAAATTTAATATATCAACCCCAAACTTCACATATGCACATTCACATTCAGGAGATTACAATTTCTTCTTCTTCTTCTTCTTCTTCTTCTTCTTCTTCTTCTTCTTCTTCTTCTTCTTCCCTTCTTCTTCTTCTTCTTCTTC